GTGTACCTAGTGTGATAGTGTACCTAGTGTGATATAGTATCATAGTCTACCTAGTGTGATAGTCTACCTAGTGTGATAGTGTACCTAGTGCGGTACAGTATCATAGTCTACCTAGTGTGATAGTGTACCTAGTGCAATACAGTATCATAGTCTACCTAGTGTGATAGTGTATCTAGTGTGATATAGTATCATAGTCTACCTAGTGTGATAGTGTATCTAGTGTAATACATGGCAGATTTGTATTGTTTTCTCCAGAAACAGATCTTATGATACATTGCAAATCAATTAGGTGACGTATTGATTGAGAGATATCGTATGCATATCTATATTTTAGGTGTGTCTATTTGGTAATTCTGAAGTATCTCTAAGAGATGCAATACGTTCAGGAACAACTAGAGATGAGCTTCTAGAGATCGTAGGTGCTGCAGTTGGAAGAAAGAAAAAACAGCATGCAGGTTTGTACAGGTTATTTTAGCAATCKTCTTTGAAATTAAATGCAATCATTGTGGARATGACCATGAAATGTATCATGCTCAACATTTCTTGTTGGTTGCTAGGTATGTTTAACATTGCAAAACAGAAGAATCGTCCAATGATCCTCATTGGTGGATGACTATCATGTATGTAACCTTCTTATTTTGTAGTAATAAAGTAATGTAAGCTTGTCARAAACAGTGGGAGATCAAACGATTTTCAAAAAGGGGTTCTGTCTAAATGCGTATGATGTTTTATCTAATAATTTATTATGATTATTATCCTTTCTTATGAGCACAACATTTATATATTTGCAGTGGAATTCTTTTGTGTAGAGCCAGGAGCCAATATTAATTGTAATGGCATGCATCAGAAAGAGAATTATCAAAATAGTATATTGTTTGTAGTGAAATGATTGGCTTCATTTAATTTTCAGTGGGCTCACGACCAGAAAGATCTAGAGTCATTGGCAGTAACAAACTACCAAAAGACTGCAGGAAATTATTGCAACCATTATTCACAAATACATATTCACATGCAAATGTGGAACATTGTCGTATGTACTCTACAGATAGCAGAAGTGATTCCTCCATTTCTCCAAAGCTCACTCATGTTGCTAGTGATGGTGCAGCAAGCATGGTTGAAGTGAAAGATAAGCAAATAACATCACGAATTGCAGTAGCTAAAGGTGTTGTTTATTTAGGAGAGCAAGCATTTCAACTGGTCAAAGAAAATAACATTAAAAAGGGTGATGTATTGACTACAGCCCAGCTGGCTGGGATAATGGCATCAAAGTCCACTTCAACACTAATTCCTCTTTGTCACAACATACCAATTACACGTGCCGATGTTCAACTGAAGTTAAATGATGAGGAAAATGYGGTTGAAATTATTGGTACTGTTAGYACAGTAGGAAGAACAGGTGTGGAGATGGAGGCACTCATGGCAGTGTCTGTTGCTGCCTTGACTGTGTACGACATGTGCAAGGCTATATCATATGATATTGTCATTGGGAATATACAGTTAATTCACAAATCTGGAGGGAAAAGTGGGGAATTTTCCAAGGCATGAAGTGACAATATTGTCAATGAAATTAGATTGACCAAGTGGGCAGTTTYGCTTRGGTAAATCCAACATAGCAATTTGTCAATCCAATACCATATGCCTAGCAATTTGATATCAAAAACAGTCATCACTTTTCGTCATATAGTAAGAAAAGTAGAAGTCAATTCTGTAGAAAGTCCATATATAATAACAGCTCATGTGTCATCTTCATGACATTTGCAAAAATATTTGTTTATGGTTTTTCATGATTTATATGTAAAATATTAGAGGTATGGCTGAATTATTTACATAGGTATATCACAGTATATGGAATTCATTTACATTCACTCATCAAGGAAATAGTCATGTCCAGTCAATGTATTCATTGGTTTTGCATTATTGTTATAACAGTATGACTATATACATAACACACTTATAGGGAAAGTAAAAATCAATTCATATTCATTAACAGGAATAATGTCTAATTAGAGAAATTAAAAATATGAATCTTTTGAGCTCCTGGAACCCATATATCACCAGTGCAAAAACACAGGTTTTCCTTTAATATCTAAGAGGGTAAGATGTTCAGTGAAGAATTTTCAAACRGGAGTGACAGTAAATTTGTTCCCCCAAATTACCATTTTTAGTAATTTTGGTGAGGTATGTGATGATTTTTGTCAGATACCAGCTGAAATAATCATAGCCCCAAAAGCCCCATTAGACCCTAGAGTGCACGTCACATAAGCATGAAATAATTCTTAATATGTATTGCTAAATAAGATTTAGTTATCAACTAACTAAGAATTCAACAAAGCATAAACACAATGCCAATTATTTAAATTCCTTTGTAGCATTGTTCTTAATTCTTAGTTAGTTGATAACTAAATCTTATTTAGCACTACATAGTTAAGAATTGTTTCATGCTTATATGACTTGCACTCTAAAAGGTGATTTGGAAAGACACAATCTATAAAAGGCACAATGAATCCCCTGGAAATAATCCTTATGGTAAGACATTAGACAAACTACTTAGATTGTATTTTAGATCTATTAAAAAATAATATCATAATTTCAATCAGTTTTAAGAGTATGGAAACCTAGTTTTATATATCAAACAAAAATAAAAAAATTGATTTTTATGTTGTGGTCTGTACTCWTTCTTTTCAGTCAGTCTTGCATTTTCATGTTTATATTTGCTGAAAAGAGAAAGTAAACTTCTTGAAATACCATGCATCTAACCAAACTGCGATTGTTGAATTGAATATTTGTTTTGCTGTTGAATCAGATTATACATTAAAAATAGAAAGAAAATATCAAGAGTTTTAGTAATTAATAGGTAATTTAGAACAATAGCTTGAACAACTTAATTCTAATTTTTGAGCCCAAGGGCTATGTATCCTGGTGATTTTTTATGCTAGACCACATAGGAGAAAAAAAAAATTCAATACATATTCAAAGAATAAGTTAAGAGATATTATTGACATATTTAATGAAGATTTGATTAAAGATATGTTTGTGAGYGATTATTAAAGTGTTAGAATTTTGGTGATATGTTGGTGGTGGTGAAGGGTTGTGATTCAGGTATAATTTGGACCCCAACTAATCAAATTCAAATTACATAATATATCAACACAATGGCAACAAATCCCAAACAAAATATTCTAAGTAAACACAAACCTCTTAGGAACTAACAGTTCAATTTAATTTTTMTAAGAAACTTTATGAAATATAGTTAAGTTATTTGCAAATTTTGTCATAATGATTGCTATATTTTACATATAACAAAATGTTATTAACAATTATTTAATGCGACTGCTGATTCCTTCATTATGCTACAAAAAGTTTTAAAATATTGTAAACAAAAGTAATTATCTTCAGAATGCCATTAATCATTATTTTGGACAACGCCTACGGACATAAAGACACCATGATTTTACAGTTGAACAGGAGTCAATTGTAGTTATTAAACAGATTTGGCTAACAACCTCACTAAAGATGCAATACAGTTTGTTCCATTAAACGTTTAATGAAAATTCAATTTATCAATAAATATTAGTCGTTGTCGTCTTTCTTGCCATGCTTAAGGATGCGAGTAAAAACGTTATAATCCAAATAGCCGTCTTTGTCGATTGGTGCATCACGAAGAATATCATCTACTTGCTCATCTGAAAACCGATCTCCCATTGTCATCATCGCTTCTTTGAGCACCTCTTCGTGTATCTTCCCYGCTCCATCCTCGTCAAAGCAAGTAAAGGCATTCCGGATTACGTCCTCTGGATCTGTGCCGTTCAATTTCTCTCCAAACAGAGTTAAAAACATGGTGAAGTTGATTGGACCGGGAGACTCGTTGATCATCTTTTCAAGATAGTCATCGGTTGGATCTTTACCAAGGGAAGCTAACATGTCGTGGAGATCTTCTTTATCGACGAATCCATCGTGGTTTTGATCAATCATATTGAAAGCTTCCTTGAATTCCTGAATTTGGCTTTGGTCAAACATGGCGAACACATTCGATGTAGCTCTATGCGCCCTCTTCTTCGTGGGCTTCTTTGTCTTACGGCTCGCCATATTTCAAAGGTTATTCCCACAAAATCTAAGACCACTTCAGAGCRATTTCTTTACCAATAAAAGAGGCAGAAAGAGCAGATTTTCCTTTGACAAATTAATGGCACACTCCCCACCAGTGATGCTAATATCGACGAGCATGCAAAGCTCCCGGATATGATTACGAATGCTATGAATGTGTGACGTCACTCTCTCCACCTTGTCACGACCTACCCAGTCACGCGGCAAATGAGGTGGTCTACGTTTCCACAAATATGGTCAGCATATCGCATTGGATATGACCTAAGTAKAAACTCAAGAGATAAGGATATTTTGACCATAACTACGTAGCTTGCCATAAACTRTACTGTAGACAACCAACTCTTACTAGAAAAATAGGCTTGAAATATAAMGCTTTTACTATAAAATAAAACTTACGTTTATGACAGAAATCCCTTGACACTATTCTGAAAATGAAATTCTACTGAATGAGCTTACCAAAGGAATTAATTAGCTTTTCACATAGAGAACCCTGAGGTTTAACTTATTTATCTTGATACAAACTTTGCAACTTAGTTTCCTTGGCGATAATTAACTGATCCATTTTTGAGCCCATAATAAGGACACTCCCATTTGATCTATCAAGTGAATACCATATTTTCAGAAAATTCCACTCATAATGAATAAACGTTTTGTTTTTTGCGGGTCCCTAATCATTGTCGTCCTTCTTGCCGTGCTTGAGAATACGAGTAAAAGTGTTATAATCCAAAAAGCCGTCTTTGTCGATTGGTGCATCACGAAGAATATCATCTACTTGCTCATCTGAAAAYCKATCTCCCATTGTCATCATCGCTTCTCTCAGTACATCCTCRTGTATCTTCCCTGCATTGTCCTCATCAAAGCAAGTAAAGGCATTGCGGATTACGTCCTCTGGATCAGTACCGTTCAACTTTTCGCCAAACAGAGTTAGGAACATGGTGAAGTTGATGGGACCGGGAGACTCGTTAATCATTTCCTCCAAATACGAATCTGTAGGGTTTTTTCCAAGAGAGGCTAGCATGTCGTGGAGATCTTCTTTATCGACAAATCCATCGTGGTTTTGATCAATCATATTGAATGCTTCTTTGAATTCTTGAATTTGATTTTGATCAAACATGGCAAACACATTTGACGTTGCTCTTTGRGCTCGCTTCTGCGTTTTTCTCGTTTTACGACTTGCCATTYTTACGGTAGTCGACTTACWGCGTTTGAAGCTTGACTAGCAATGAAACCAGATACTTAACACCCCTTCAGCTCGAATCGCCAGCGCTTTTGGATTTTACGGGTAGAAATTCAATTGTTAGTCAATTTGGAAACCGAAATATTTGGCTGTTCATTTACAAAGGGAGGGGCTTGTGAACCAATGACAAACTGACAGACAATTCAAATCCGAAAGATACACAACTCAAGTGTGAATCGAATTTGTACTGAAAACAGACGGTATATTGTATTTGAAAACATTTGTATACCCCGATAAGAAAGAAACATACAGTTCACGATAATTATGAATAAAGTCCATACCACATTAAACAATGTGCAAAGAAATACAAATGGATGAAGACGTTTTTCGTAATTTACTTTGCATGACAAATAAAACAGTATACATATCTTATATTTCAAACTTGATATCAACATTTCCATATATTTTAGTTGGTATTACTATCGTTTTAAAAATATATTTAACCACAGTGATTTGAAACTGAATAATATCTCATTTTTTTTTGCAATTCCGTTGGAGATAAATGACTATTACTATTGCTGCAAAGCTTTGGCTAAAATGTCACAATCAGTGGGAGCATCAGTAAAAATACTGCCAACAAACACATGTGTTCCCCAAAGGTGATGACTAATCACTTTACAGCAACCAAGATCAAGAACATTAAACCCAAGATGGTTAAATCTCTCATCTGTCTCGAATAAGGTCGTGTTCGTGTGAGGTCCAAAGTACTGGAAATAAATGTACAAACGGTGAATTAATAATGAGAAAGACAATAAACCAATTGTTTTTTTTTTGATGGATAAAAATGAAAGTATCATAACCAACACATGTTCAAGATAATAAACCAATCTTTTTTTGGTGAATACAAATTAACGTTTTATGATAATCTACATCAAGAAGACACAACATACCCTTATTACATAAAGATGCACATATTTTTGAGCACAGAATAAAATTACTTACAGCAGTTCCTGACGAAGGATCTACAAAATCWGCCCAGTATCCAGCTGAAGCCAAGTTCATGCAGATTTCTTTTGCACTTTCGACAAACTACAAATAAATGAAAACTAGCTTCAAATTGACGCCAGGAAATGATAAAAACTTAAGTGGACTCATGCAAACAGCAAGTGATATCACTACAGTCTAGTTGTTTCCCGGCATCAGTCATAATGGTGATGAATGTACAGATCATCAATATTCACCTTCCTTTGTTTCTTTATCATCATACCGATAAAAAGTACTTTAAAAACACTGAATGATAMAAAGGTTTTTAACACATGCTGGTACATTACATGACTTATCACAACATGTTTCTGGTGTAATCTGGGACTTTGTTTGACTAGTATACAGACATTACTGTCTGCAAAGAACATAATTATATGTAGACATATTTACATTTTTCATGAAGGTCTCGCGTTCTTCTTCAATTTCCAGTGACCATGCACTCATGTCATTTTTGGTAAACTGGCTGATGTTGATAATAGTCAGTTCACTAGGTTTAAGCTTCTTGTCTGGAAAGAGCTCCATAAAACCACGATGAAGAAAATTTGGACAGGTCTGCACACTGCACTCCACAGCTCCAGCTTGCTGTTTGATTTCTGAGTCTTTTTCATTCTGAATTTTTGGAAAAATGACAAAATAAGATCCAGTTTCAAATTCTCTAATGCTCTGCWTTAGCCTCATTTGTGTGAAAAGTATTCCTAATTTGGAGCATAAGCGTGTGAGATTTCAAATCAATGTCATTGTCTTTCTTCACAAATTCCATGCGTTTTCTCTGGCTATCAATAAAACAAAAGAATACATTGCTTGGTTTTGAGGCTAACACAGAGCTAACACAGAACTCTAAATTGGAGTATTGATAATAGTTTATTGTAGTCATGCTCTCTTATTATTTGTTTGTTAAAATGTTGCTCTCAGGTCTTGGTTGGTAACAATGGTAGTGAGCATTACTCATACCCAGTATTGTGTAATGTACCTTAGCATAAGCCCTACACTCAATATAAATAGAAGGAATAGCCACTGAATAATAAGTCTCAATATTTCATACCTGCACTTCCTCAGAAGTAGATTCCTCCATTTCAGCCACATTATCAAGAAAACATCCCATGACGTCCATTTTGTGTGCTTCATCAGAAGGAGCTTCCAGTAGTGCATCTACAAGAGATTTTGTATTCAAAGAAGCTGTCTTCTCATCTTTATCAGCAACCACACCCATATTGCCAGGAAGAGGGAACCTTGGGTCTCTTGTTGCAAATGGTCCCAGTCTGCTTTCTGYCCACCCCTTATCTGAGACTARYAAGGAAACACGCCACTGTAACACTRTCTTATAAACTTCCCAAACATGCAMACAATAGAKTACAAAGATWAAGTKWCACAGWGSAACATAAMTACAAGTAAATAGCTCTAAAATTGTTATAATTCTATCCTTTAGTAAATACCAAAACTTGTATTAAATAGTACAGTCTTGCAGTCYTTTAGTGTTTGTACTCTAGTATYTAGTTATTATAGTACTTACATTTTTTATCTTGGTGGCTGGCGGTTCCAATGCTTGATGTACTTAGGTGCACACATGGTATACATGCCCTTGTGCGATTAACAACTGCTCGTAAATTKGGAAAATACTTGACAACACTGCTTGTTTTAGTTAGGGCCTAAAGCAGTTAAAAAAATTAATATTCTTTTCTTGTATACTCTTTTACAACTTAATATAGTCAACTCTTGCTTTGGGTACAGTGTATGTACATCTCATTATTATACACACAATAAATTTCCACGTCTTGAAAGAAACAAATTGGAAATATCGTATTTACTCGAATAGATACTGCGGTGTTTATTTCATTTTTCACACTCCAGATGCAGCATTTATTCAAGGGCGRCGTTTATTCAAAAACCAGTTTATTCGGTACTAAATACCATACTTTATATCTTATTAAAATGAGTGTCGAGGGCCTTACACTTTATTGTATCTTTTTCATACTAGCTAACAGCAACGAATCTCAATATATAAATGTTGTRTTCAATTTGTCTATTCAATTATCATTTTAAAAAGAGCTAAACTTCAACATCACTGTCCTCCTTGCGGTCGGAATCTACACGTAACAGCTGCTGCGGCTGGCAAGCGTCTTCAACATCCAAGTCTGTACACTCAAGCGGATCAGTYCCGGGTTCACTCAAAATTCCCAGCTGTGATTTAAGCATTGGTTTTCCAGAGCTRCATGGCTGTTCTTCCTTTTGGCCGTATATGTTGTCATCTCTTGACCCATCTACTGGAAGGTTCAASGCACATGTGGCAGATGTCTTCCTTCTCAATGATAAACCATTTCTCTTCAGGAATCTACACAACCATCCTCTCGATGCTTTAAAGTTCTCAGTCGTAGTGGTGTTTTCTGACATAATATCATTATAAACTACTTCAGCTTTTTTCATGATGAGCTTGCAGGAAACTCGTAAACTACGAGCGCGCCTGTTGTCAATCCACTCCAGTAAGACCTCTTCCATTTTGGTACTCAAGGGTTTCCTCCCAGCCCCATTTAATCTGATTCTTTCTTTACCCTTTTTGGTTTCAAGCAAAGTTTGAATGCTTATTTTGTTTACTCGCCACTCTCGTACTCTCTTTTCATCAAGCTGAAATCGTCTAGAAGTGGGTCGATTCCCGTGTACTTCCGCAAACGCAATCACTTCTTTCTTGAATTCAAGGCTGTACTTCTGTTTTCTTTTCCCTTTATGAGAAATTATATCTTGAACATTTGAATCAGCCATAGCGTTTACAGAGAATGGTTAGGACAGTATTAAAGCATGTTAAGTCAAAAGCAATTTGCTTGCTATAGGTGTTGAACTACAATACCACTGATTTCCTGATGTGCGTGGGAATGGCTCTCTGATTAGCTATTGAAATATTAAACTTTTAGCAGCCCTCAGAGCCTCACATATCACGTATCAAGTTTTAAAGTAAAGAAGTTCTTATTTTGACCAGCAAATCCAGCACAAAACTTTCAAAGTTGAGTTTGAGACAGTTATTAGAGGGCATCAAGTTTACAAGTCTGTGTGGTCTCCAGTAWTGGGTCAAGTACTTAAGTGTAAGCAGAACACACTTGCCGAGGCACAAGAGCACGATTCCAACGCAGTTGGTGTTTTACTTGATATCAAACCAAAAGAAGACGCTCACTGGCCATGTCCCATAGAATTGTCACACTTGTTGGAAAACTTTATTGAAGCGAGCGCTGAAAACAAACTTTGTGCACAAGTCACTGGAAAGAGAAAGAGAGAAGTCGACCTTGTAGTACCAGCGAAGTTCTCTGCATTAACAGCGGAATTGCACATTGCAACATTCCTTGAAAGAGAACTCAACACAAGAGCAAAAAAGTACAGGCACTTTGAACTAAAAAATATTGTTCTAGAAGAAAATATATTCCTATTGCTGGTTTAAACTTGAAATAGACCTTTCTTTCATAATTATTATAAATCATAATTTCCTCAAATAGACGCCGCACCCAGATGTGGCGTCTAATCAGAAGCGGCATCTATTTAAAATTTTGCGCCTTAAGCGCTGCGTCTATTCAGGGGCAGCTTCTATTCGAGTAAATACAGTAAGTGTGTAAAAAGTTGTGTAAAAAGATAAATTTAACACCATAAAAAAGTAGGTGAAATAACTTACTGACCTTTCAGATGTTAATCCTTCTCCGTCCTCTTTACAAAAGATTAACATCCGAAACATCAGTAACTTATTTCAACTACTTTTTTTGCGGTGTCAAATTTATCTTTTTACACAACTGTTTCTTTAGAAACATCAATGCAGCTCACACTAGTTTAATGCTAGTTCCCACCAAATTAATCCACAAATTAATTCCCACATTTAATTGCAGTTCCAGAGGTTTTCATTCAAATTACCGATGTTTKCATTTCTACACGACAAGTCTAGATAGAACCTCAAAACTGCAAGTAGCAAYTGACTGCTGACTATCAACAAGAGCAYGTTGTGTCAACTGCTATTTTCTTAGGAAATTATGATTGACAGAACTCTATTGCTTAAATGCATGTCATGAATTAGTCTGGGCGAGTCGTGTAGCAATACAAACAATGGTAAAAGTTGCCTGTACTGATCAATAATTTGAACACAATTTGATAAAAAACAAAGGAATTAAGCTTAGTTCTTATATTTTGTTAGCAAACTACTTCAAAGGCAGGTAAGCTTATATTTTACTTTAGCTCTAAAAATGACGAATAAAACCAACCCTGTACATGGCCCGTGATAAAATCAGAAGTTTTGCTCATATAGTGATTTACTAAATCATTTTGYAAGTGAAAAACGCACTCATCGAAAATGACGTGCTGGAATTCACTCACTGTTTTGACTGACTTACCTTGGCAGCCATATTGGCCTTGTTATTTTCAGCTTCTGACGACGTATTCGTTGTTATTTGATAAAATGACTGATGTATTTTGATTAGCACATTTCTTGTTGAAGTATAACTGATTATATATAAGACAGATAGTTCAAAACAGGAGTGGAAATTGAGGATCTTACACTACCAGCTCAGCTCTCATCGATCACATCAACACATTGTTTCCCATGATTCTTAGGGCACTTGTACTACCCATAGTGCTTTAGGACAATTGTTTGTAAACTAAACAGATTTTTTTATAGGAATTTAAATTGTAGGTCTAATGACCCTTACTCACTTGTTTTAAAGTGAAGAAAATTGAGGTATTTTTGATGTCTTATATGTCCTCAAACTTTGTTTCCACTATTTTACAGATTTTGGTATTATCTGGGCTTCCTGTGGAATATAGCCTCGATTTCGATACGTAAAATTGATGCCTGGTAGATATCGACTTTAATCGTCGCAGCTGGCAGCTGATGGTACAAAAGAAAATAATGATTACTTTCCACCAAATCATTAAAAAATCTATAGAATACGTAAAATAGACTGCCATGGCTCAAGGCTTAACTCGTAGAACGACAAAAAAATCGCAAGCAAAATCTGGAACTTCCAAGCCTACTTCGACGGGAATCTCCAAGGACAACAAGTCTAGAAAAAGTTCTTCAACTTCATTGAGGTACGCATTGATTGCGTTTGCGGTTGTGATAGCTTTAATTGCGTGTATAGTTTACGTGTCCGTAGAACGCAAGGTAGAAAAAAAAAGTAATCTTCGTAAGCCAAGTAAAGACGAAAGTAATAGATCAAAAACAGGACAAGGAAAGAAKCAAAAGCAGTCCCAGCAACAGAAAGGTAGACTTACTGTATAACAGGAATTCTTTCTATTATTAACACGCTYTGGAAAGTGCGCACAATATTATATTCATGCTAATTTAGACTGGGTATTGTGTTTTCAACATAAGTGAAACTTGGATGCTTATCAACCCACTCATTCTAATTTGTTAATGCGATGTGTTTTTTTTTTCTTACCACATATTGGGACAATTTTACCACATAATGGGACAATTTGTGAAAATCAGATTATTCTTTCCACTGAGCGTGTGCACTGAACATGATGGTCAGTCAGCACAGGCAGTGTGAGGGTTGACACATGATTAATTAGCCAATCAATACATAGGTCACACAAATATATTATATCAAATTCGGCCAATCAGAGCTTGCTGGAAAAACTCAAGACTTGTCAACTGGCAAGCAGGCTCTCATTTCCTTTCTGTCTCTAATCATTGCCCACCTACCCCCTAGGCCTACTTTAGAGTTTCAAATTTATATTGCAAAATTAAAAAAGTAATGAATTAAAGGCACCTTGATTTTTTCACAGATAATATTCCTCCAGAGTTCAGAAACTTTAAAGCATCATATCAGAAAAAGCTCAAAATGTCTTCATTTGTAAATGGAAAGTCCTTTGATTTGAAAGAATTAAGACCAAACAAACACAACAGCAGTGTCAGAGCATATGTCATTGAAAACTTCTTAAGTGATCATGATTGCGATAGCCTGGTGAAAGTGCAYAATAAGCACTTGGACATACTCAAGCAAAATGACCCATTTCTATGTTTTGACAGTGTTTTGACACTTGTTAAGAACCTAAAAGAATTGAAGCTGAAATATAAGGTATGTGCACATTCATTGTTTTATTTATGCTATAAGAGGACTGCCAAAAGGTTAAAATTGACCCCAGAAAGGAGCCACAGCCTTTGCTAATCAGAMTCAACTTGCAGAAATGAAATTTTACTGAAAGCATATCTCAAAGTTATTGTTGCAAACATTTTTAAAACATGACTTTTATCTAAGGTTTCCAGTAAAGATTTCATTAAAGGGACCACTTGCTTGAATGAGACATTTTCCTCTGAACTGAAGCAACACTTTAAATGGAGCTACAGCACAGCTTTTTATCCTGGTGAAAATAAGTTCTCCATGGTTTATGCAGAACACATCAARCAGGCAACAGGCCTTAAACCAGAAAATGGTGGGAAGTTCCAGATTACTTCGTATCCTCTTGGTGTTGGTATGTTTGAAGTTCTTCTTCATTGTGATTCAATCAAAATACAGAAATTCACAGGAATGCCATTCCTTTTTTCACTAACTTTAGGGTACAAAAGCCACACTGACTGCATAGTGTACACAAAGGGACAAGGCGAGGAACGAGATCGTTTTGCAACAGTTCTTGTATATCTKCAAGATGTTGAAGAAGGTGGCGAGACTGAGTTCCCTCTTTTGGGCATGAAGGTTAAACCAAAGAAAGGAATGGCTCTCGTGTGGAATAGCATGGATGAAGATGGCAATTGCGAGGCTTTGTCTCTACATGATGCAAAGAGGGTCGTTAAGGGACATAAATACATCATTCAGAGATGGTAAGGGAACGTTTTTACACCTTGTTACCGCAAAGACAGAGGCTTGCCGAAGCGTTTTAAAACGTTTTCATTTGTTGTCTTATACCATCTGCTGATACGCATCAGTTTCTTTGGAAATTGCTCAAACCCACGTTAAGGAGAGGAAGGCAGTGGTGCTGGTTACTGCAACAATTCCCGAAAAAAATATCTTGCATAGAAAATGAAATTTTGTTCGAAAAAGACCATCCTTTAGACGATCTAGTGAAACTGAACGCAGCTGCGTGTAAAGTAGACTTAAAACCAGCTGTGTAAAACCGTGACAGAAGTCATTAGGCAACAACAGCCATTCAAAAAGCATTATATTAATCGAGAGAAAAAAGACCATCTTTTCTGTAACACAATATTCATCAGCAGTATCCACAGCGTGAAATAYTGGGAATACTTACAGTCAGGTGCCCAGTTAGTAAAAGGACCGCAAAACTTAAGTAGTATTATCACCTTGGCTGAGATAAGTGAAATGAAACGTCAAAATAGAAAAAAAAAACGTCAGATACATACAGGTATTAGACAATTTCTTGCAGTTAGTACTTCTTCTTTTGTGTCTTGACTTTTAATATCCACAAGACTATAGATTATCAGGAAACCAGCATTCTGAATGGCTATTAAACTATGGTCTATTCATGTCAAACCAGGACCACATCATGAAAKCCGAATAAACCTTGATGAAAAGTTGTTTTTTTCTAATGTTTCAAATTTGCCCAGAAGTTTGGTGCCGATACGGCCTCGTGGGCTGTCGTAGTCCACTCGACCTCGTGGTCTTAATATTTTTAATATTCTCAGTTATGTACTCACTTATTATCAAACTAAAATTATATTGCTCGCCCAAGTAAGTTTATCTTTTATATAAATGTGTTTTCACAATAATTAACATTCAACTTTATGAACTCTTGGCCCCCAACGCTCACATGTGGGCGTTGTCMGCATGTGTTMAGTAACGAGTTCTGTTTTACAGGTATTATTACAAGAATTTCCCAGCCCTTGGAAAACGACCACCAGAGCCCAACCTCCCACAACGAAAGCCCAATCAAGCACGAGTTTCTTGTGACGAGTATGAGCAAGGCAGCTGCAGATGGTACGACGAATGGAATTACGACCATATCTTGGAGTACCATGCCCAACGAAAAAACCTTGTGTAGTTTTACACATCGTTAGATTTTTTAATTTGAGACGACGCTCATCAAAAATGTAGATTTAGTCTCTGGGGTTTCTTTATGTATGCTTTGCACTCATTATTACCGTGATGGGGGGGTTTAATTTGCATCTAAACAATTCCATGTGCTCTATTGTTGGTATTTGYTTTACCAAAGGAGCTCGTGGATTCATGAATAACAAACGCTAGACCATAACTAGACAAGAAACCCAGAAGAAGAAACTTTTATCATCGTYCAAAAATGTTTTCGTTTCATAATCCTTTCACTATGATTACGGCGGGATTTTATATGGGTATTTTAACCTTGCGGGATTTTATATAACAAACGGAAACAAGTTCACATCGTGAACACTCAATTGCAATATCTCAGAGACCACGTTTTKAACATTTCTATGTCTCGGGAATAATGCATTCTTATTGTGGTGTGTATGATTATAATGAAATTACACCTTGTTTTTTTTAAGCTATAAAGCCATAAGAAAACAGGGTTTAAAGCAGCATAGAATCTCAATCCTGTCCGTCCCAATATACATACATTCTCAGAAATTGTTTTATCAGGTGTTCCTAAATCTACATAATGCGGAGATTTTTATTATTTGGCACTTTGTCACGTGTAGCAGTTTGATTAATCGCGTGAACGAAATGAAAGGGAGAAAATTGAAAAAAGATTGCTCAAATATTGTCGCACTGAAAGTTGTAGATCAGTCTTTTCCTGTAGTTTTCGTATCACATTCTAGAAAAGTGCGACTGCCAGTGACTRTATGTGTATGTTTTAGTTCTTGGTGCTTACGTGACAAGGCTTCATAGTTTTGAATTTATTAATACCTGTAAAGAAACGGAATCAGCACTTCTATTTTGATACAATCGTATAGGATTCTGTCGAAGAAATCGTAAGAACTCAAGAAAAATATWATTTTTTTCGCATAATATATGCATAACATTTGTTTTTCCTTAACTCTCGACCTTTTAATTTACAAAAAAATCCAGTCAACTGCGGCGAGTGAAAATACCATTCTCCTTTTATTTCGTTTGCACCAAGACTGGAACAAACATAGAATAATTTCTATTTCTACAAAAGACAATACAACTCGGTAATTTGAAATCCTTTTTAATAAATTATGAAGACCAAATGACAAACTGGTATATGTATAGCATTGGATACAAATATACAAACAAAATAAATTATGATTAAATACATTATTATCAAAACAACCTAGAATTTAAAGCGTGGTATGTTGCTTGTGTTGCTTTGAAACCCTGGTCAAACAAACAAAATCAGTTCGTCCTCAAAAGTAAGTTTGAAAAGTGACAAACCAATGAAATCCTTTCATYTCCTAATGGCCTGCACTGAGGTGTGTAGTCGACTCAATCTCAATCACCTCTGGAATATGAAGCATGGATTCTCACATGGTCCTTTTTTCTTATCAAAAAATAATACTTTCAAAATCATTTGTAAAATCGATGAATGCTAGACAACCACACTGAAAATCCACTCGTGACRAATATTAAACTTTTCTTGGATACAAAAAAATCTTGTTCACGCAAAAAGCAAACTTTTCAAGTACAAAGAATGTCAGTAGTATCCCTGTTGAAAGTGTACATAATTTTGGATACCACCTAAATGGAGTTTATATACATTGTAAAAATATACAGGTCTTTGATATACTTTTTTGGAATTGAAGTACTATTGATATTTACATCTGATAAACAASTACTCTGGTTGCCAGAGGTTGGAGTTTGCATTTTCTCATAGCTCATTCTATATTTCATCCATATATTTTATTTCTTTTTGACTTGGAGACCRTATAACTAAAATGTTGGTTGAGCCATACAGTGTCAAAATAAACCATGAGGAAGCATAAATTCCAACCTCTGGTACCCAAGATGATGGACAGTTGAATTGAAAGATTAAAATCATCATAAAATTAAAGACGATAATCTTTTTTTTCAATTGTGAAACACAACTTTTTAAAATCTTTAACTTTTTTTGACTCACATGGAGCTGGCTTGAACCACCTATCTTTAGGTTATTCACTGTTACCATAACTTGATCAAGTATTGGTTTCGTTCAATCAATAAAAAGGACTYCCTTTGGTATCGATTAATGCAATACTAGAATGAATATGTAATGCACTATGAATAAAATGTGGATCATATKAAAACTTGTCACACATATAAATTTATATATACTATATATAGAGAGTTTATGTTATGTATGGAGGTATGTAAGTGATATGTCTTTTAGCAAAGATATCTAGGTTGTAGTTGATTATGAAATATTTTCATTCTTGGTTGATGTTGCATGAAGGTGATTTAGTGCTAATCAATGATTCATAGATAATTAACTATTGAAGTTTTTGCACAAGAGGGAGACTGACTGTACAGCACTGAGTTCATATCAGAAAACATGTAATCTGTATGGATTATACAAAGGATTTCCAGGGCATATTACCCTCTATGTGCTCATACTGAATCWATGCTGTAGCCATACTGCGCAATCACCATTGCACAGTTTCCATTTATGCAAAAACAGCTCTAATCTTGTTATCTACTCGTCATACAACCTGTCCAAGCAGAATAGTGTACTTTTATAATAATGTGAACAAGGTAGGTACATTCCCTGATATACAAACACTGCTGTTCCCTTCTTACAGATACAAGGTTATAAACCTTCACTGCACTGCTCTTGCAGCATCACTCCTGCAATAATCATCGTCCTCTACTGCCCAGATGCCTCCAGAGTATGTGAAGTAACTAACACTGGTTTCATAGCCATTTCTGGTAAGGAAGGCAATGCACTAAATGCAGAGGCGTTACTCAGCATGAACATCACCTTGGTCTTATCAGGACCTGTAAACTTCTGCTCACCATCACTAAAAAGTACAAAATAGATTATTGTTAATGAAGATTTTCTCCAGGAAATCAAAATGTGATCTGTGTGATGAATTGCTCCTGTCAAGCAAAATGGTTGGAGCACTGGCCCAACGAGCAAGGGGTCAGTAGATCAAGCCTCCCCAATCTACACTGATGTAGGATTTTTTTGCATCCTAAAATCCTGCCAATACACAACAGTAGTAGAGAAAACTTAAATAATAGGATCCTAGTTTTTTTCCATTATTTCATTTTGCCCAGAGCATTAAAACCAGCATTTATGAAGCAAATCTTTGAAAAAGAGCAAACATAGCTATGTCTTATTAAATCRTGCTTGCTCATTGGTGGTGTTACTACACATTATATCCAAAAGGCCTTGATTACATCACTATTTGAATATTGCCATGACAACTAACCTGATAATATCTTCTACATGTGATTGGACCTTTTCTGCCCCATCTGGTGGTTCTCTTGCAAATAGGTAGCTATTGTTTGGCTTAGGAGATGAGGCAAACTTTGACACGGCTGATGGTTCTGGAGAACTGTCTTGYTCATTGGGTGTATAAATTGGAGCACCAGTCCCAGAAGAGCAACGAGAAGAAGACTGGTAGTCAACAGCCCCTGGTATAATTGGTAGTGTTGGTGAGGCAGAATGGCTTCTGCTGCTGCTGTTGCCACTGCTATCTTGAAAGTCATGGGTTTCTGATGGAGTTTGAGTATGTATGTCAACAGTACTAAATGGACTGTTTTCAGACAGTATTTCAGGTGGTGGAGCTTTTCGGCCATCCATAGGTTCAAGGATCTGTTAAAATATTACATACGTCTGATCAATACACTCATTGAAATAGAAACAATAGATTGCCATCCTCATGGCATCACTGCTCAAGGATCACAAAATACAAGTCTGTGGGTGAGAACATGTTTTCAATTATACAACAGCTTTTGTTTTAGAACAGAATGCTCTTATGAATTTGAATARAAGAATCACTTTCTATTTTAGACAAGGGAATAATTAATCAGTATTTTTAAGGAGCATAAGCTTATCTTTGCTAAATCCACATTTATCCAAGTTTAAACAATACATCAACACCAGTCAAACATATGTCAAAATGAATCCTTCCTAAGACAAACATAATCAAAACTCAGGATATTACAGAGAACACTTAGCCTCTTGGCACATACTTGTGTGTCCTAAATGGTTATCGTGCCTCACTAGGTTTATGGATAGAAAAATAACATGTTGTCTTATAATTTAACCACCTCAGAAAATTAATCTATATTTATTTCTCTTGAAAGTGCATCCTGTTGAGTTTGGTTTAGTGTTTATGAATATTATGGAATAATATYAATATTACATGTAAATGGTAATATTAATAAGATGAATGTAAGTTAGATTTTTAATCAATGTAAATATAACAAAAAGTTTTAAATYACTTTTTGAGAATGTATTTTGTCTRAAACAAGTTGAATATTTTTTGATTGTATCTTTCTTGTCTATCATTGCTAAAATAATATATTGTGTGATTTTTTAAATAAATAGTGATTGCATCTTTACTTTACTTCCTGAGGGTTTGCTAGCAATTCTTATTAATCATATCAAAATAGCAATACCATTAAATAACATAAATATATTGTCTGATACCTTATCATGTGATTGATCTCTTGGCTTCAGGTCTAGGGTCTGGATCTCACTATTACAAGCTTCCCAGCTTTTTCGCTGTGGAAAGTCTGTTGGTCTTGATAATACTGGGATTGGGATAGCAATACTCTGTGTGTTTTTATTTATAGCRCTGTGATCCCCATGGACAGGTGATTGTCGACCATATACAGCCGTTATTTTCTTGTCTTGCTTCTTACGTAGTTGTTGTTTTAGTTTCTAGAAAAAGAGCCAAGAAATTAAAAGAAAGAAAAAACTGTGAAAAGGAATTCAAATCARCACTCACCTCGCGAAGATCGGCAGATCCCAATGAGTTGGATCTTTTGTGTCTTGATGGTGAACACTCCTCCTTGTCATCCCATGCTGGAGTCTGTTAATTCAATATTTCTTCATCAAAATTAATGCGCTCAATCAATACACCAGGTTTAATACTACCAAATCAATTTAAAAATGTCTTTGAAATTGTGTTTCCTGAGAGGAAAGGTCTAAATACTGACTGAAGCCAATGAAATATGGTAGGAGGGAAAATAGGATGCAATATGCATTAACCATCAATAACAGTGGGTGTAGAATCCTTCCTCAATTAATCCATAATTCATGCTCAAAAGAATCATTGTTATAATGAAAATTCTATTCTTGAAAGCCCTAAGACAACGAAAATGACATTTATTGGTATCCAATTTCAACATGTTATATAATATCTGCCCCTGCTTTTGTCAATTTTAATTCTGTGTAATGTGAGTAAGATATATAGTGGCTGAATGACAGAGAGAAATGCTGACAATGACATGAAATAAATAATAAGATATTTTTTGCAAAGTTTATGAACCAATTTTTTATAAATACAGCATGGCCTGCTGCTTAAATATACTTAGTATTTTGACAGTATTTAATTGCCTGAGATTATGGCAAAACCCTCAATTACAGAGTGCTGAATTTATTAATAMGAGTAAATTTATTACAACAATGCTATGCTAATGAATGACAACTTCAATCAAAGATTAATAACAAACAAATTTCACTGAAAGTCATTTTTTTAAACTATGCTTGAAAGAGGTGTATTTTAGAGCTTGTCTGCTGTCTCCACAAACAAACACTACAAGTTTTTCTGTCAAAAATAGTTTTCACTTGTCAGGAATTTTTTACTTATTTCATCAAGAAAGCAGTTTTTATTGATTTTTTCTYGTGATAATAAGTCATACTGTATGCAAACATTACAACAGTATATTAGTGGTGGGTATTTCCTTCTGAGGGATAGATTGAATACCTTTCAAGAAACTCAACCACGGATTCCTAATATAACAAGCAATTAGAAATTCTGCCTTTCTTTATATTTATATATGAAATGTAATATGATTAGCTATACATCACTTCATTAACCCCCAAAAAATGGAAACATGACTGAAACAGTTAGAATCACTTTGCATAGGTCAGAAGAATCAAAATGGAAAAACAGGTTGACTTAAYCTTTTAGTGCTAAAATGGATGGCAAAGATAGGAGCACATGGACAAYAAAACAAGGCTGCTGACATAGACTGYCACAGTCAAAACCCTCAAGTGGATATTGCTATTGTTATTCTGCCACGATGTTTGGCTAATAGATGTAGCAATGGACGCCTACATGTCCAAACAAACTCGAAATATTTTTCCTGAAATGTTGCTATTTCGAAATGTATTCTAATCAAAGCAAAGATGGAGAATGATTACAGAATCAAATGAATTTGTGTTAATTCTAGGTGTTAAATAGTTAACCAATTTTAGTAACAGGAGAACGTGGAAAATACTCAGGCCCAAGTTGTACGAATCATGAGAATACATTAATTTTTATACAGATCTAAACAAAAGTGCCACGAGACTGGCACATAATAGAAAATTCGAGGTACTCCGATTGTTATTTGCCTCGCTTATTTTTTTCATATTCACTTGCAGAACCTTGAATAGTATGTCATCTCTTAAATCTAGTAATAATAATTGCATTTTCACAGTCGCATCTCAGTATTAAAAGGACCCATGTCATAATACAAAAAAAAAAACTAAACAAAACATGTCAACTCTACTGCAATTTCCAAAAAAATCGAAAGAAGGGAAACTTTTTTGGTSCTACGCCTGCTAGGTTACTAAGATATGGCGTAAATGAACTTGTATTGACCGATCTTGACTAAAATGAGTTGAGACTTACGTTTACAAGACTCAAGGACGGCACGAAACGCCGAGTTGAAAAAAAATAACGACAAAGAAAGAGGTGGACAGCCGAATCAATATAAAGAAAAGCTATTTAGGGAAAAAGAAGGATGTCAAAAATCTTTGTTTAGAGTAAATATGTGTCTTTGTTGGATGAAATGTTAATTCGTCAATTACTGGGACGATTTCAACGTTCAAAGTTGACCCTTTCGGCGTACATCTTTCATTGCTCTCTCCCAAAACACTCATAGTTCTAGCACTACAATGGCTAGTGAAATGAAGTATGGTTTTGGAGTTTAATATTTATAACACGGTGCCTAACTGACCTGAGTAGCCTTGTGACAACAAGGTCTACAACTTCCACCATCTCTCGGCCACTGTCCGCACAAGTAAGTCCCCGAGATGGCATCTAAAGAGGAGGTTCTCCTTACACCTCCTGCCCTCAACGGCTTTGGTCTTTCAACTGTTAGGAAAAGGAGCTTACCGTTAAATATGATTTAGTAAAATTTACTCATCTCCGCGAACAACAGCATCARATCAGATAGTGCAACTGAAACTCGGCCAAGGTTGTTCAAAGCTACCCAAGTACGGAATTCCAAAAACGAAACTTTGTTTTACAGCATTTTACTCTTCGCTAACAACACCAGCATGAACAGAGATACAAATCATGATTGAAAAACTCGTAGAATTGGAAAGTTAAGAACAATCTAAAAATTATCACCAAGACAAACCAAATGAGTAGAAGGTCGAAATAAGCTTACCTTGTTTTGCTAACGACGGAGACGTTGGACTTCGTCGAGAATGGTCTGGAGAGCAACGTGTTTTTTCTACATTGTGAATTGGAGAAGATGTTGGACTCTTTCTTATTTGATTTCCTCTAGTTGGACTAGGGTTTCGTAGTAGGGAGAAAGGGTGAACCGCACGCAAAGGTTGAGGTTTGGAACTTGAGGCTGCAGGAGAAACATTTCTTCTCCTCGGTGGCTGAGAAGCCATTTCTTGCGCTGTAACGCCTGAATAATCAAATATAAAGGGATATTATAGACCTTCAGAAAATGTCAGGTTCAGAAATAACAAGAGAAGTTATATAACACGTAAAACTCGGAGACGTAGAGTACCTTCTTCTTATCACTGAGCTATCCAACCAACAACACCAGTTGTGTGGAGTAGCATTCTAATTACATAGATGAAAATACGCTCACTGCGATTGGTCGAAAGTCCAGTACTGACAAGTGGCTAGTGAGGAGAATAYGTGTTTTGATCAGAGAAATGTCTCGAAGTCCAAATTGTTTTATAACTGTTTTACTATTTTTCTGAGAGAAGCTCCAATTATAAAAGAGATTTGTGTTTCAAATTAGCATWTTTTTTTTTTGAAAGGAGCATGCACTGTTGCGTTTCTTGGTGTGCCGTGAGCCGTCACCTTGGGTTCTTCTGGAACAGAAGGTGGTCTCAGGCAATATATAATACCAAAAAGAATTTAAATAAGATGGAATACATGTGCCTCCTTCTGCGATTCCTGGTATCGAACATATTAGACTCAAAACTAGCCATTTATTCATATGAGAAAATATAAGTATCATCTGTTTTAAGTTTAAGGCTATGACAATAGATTCAGCTGTAGTTTGCACTATTTACTCCAGCCACTTATTGTTTTTGCGAAACGCATACTTTCATTCAAAATTGATTCCTTTCCCCCTTTGAACAGTGAATACAAAATAAAGAAACTCGCCATGGGAAGAGGAACACGTTTCAACCTGAAAAACCCAACGARAAGGTCAAGATGAAGATTTGAAAAATACCCATCTAGTAAAACAATGATCCGAAAATAGTCGGTATTATGATCCCCACGTGCAAATTACACACGTAGTAAACGCACAGGTTATGTTACGGTTCGTTGCTTTTCCCGCGAAAATATCCTTCCAGCTGGTTTTTGGAGCGCTGTAATTGGCTGAAAGTTTGATGAAAAGCGAAGTGGAGTACAGGCTTCCGTTGTTTTATTCAAGAGAAACAACCATTCAAAAATAATTAACGTTTCTGCTTTTTAATGAATTTTTTTTCATAGATTTAAACAGCATTATTACCATAATAATACTGTTATTGCTAATCTTTGTATGTTTTCTTTTCTAGATCAAAATCCAGCGGTTACGAAAACCAGTTGTTAGAGGTTTCGGACTAAACATTCGTGAAACCTGAACTTTTGTTTTTTGAATCCAGTGTTTTGCGAATTATTTTGTCATGTCCACAAGCTGTGGTAAACCTAAATGGGGAATTATTTTGCAGCCGCCCTTCTTAAAGACACTTGAAACATGAAATGCATAAAATATGACAATCAAGCATTTTTGCTTGCTTAGTTTTAAGAATCGTATATTTTCTTTTCTCTGAAATCCAAATATTGATAAATATAAAGATCTTGGAATTTTTTAACATCATAATAGTCTCGCCCACGAAAATATTGCTTTTAGTTCGGAAKAGAACGCGCTGATCAACTACCAAATTCTCCTTGTTCATTAAGTGCCTGACAGTTGTTTTTAGTAGAGCTCAGTCATGAACTTTACTCAACCGAGTTCAATCGAAAACGGTGACACAAATAAGACCCAGTCAACCAAACGAATATGAGAAATGATAAAAATTCACTTTACCGGCAAGAGAAGTAAGTCCAAAACAATTAACATTTACACCAATTTGACTGGAATGGAAATTGATTCACATTTTGAAAGTTTCAATTGCAAATTGACCAAATGAAATCTCTCTCGATATTGCGTGCGATGGTTATACTTYTATTCAGCTCTCCAGTTGATGCGAAACTACGTCTAATTTATATGGAAAGCACTCATAAATAATTTCTTTCGTAATGTAAATAAAATTCAATTGTTTTTCATCTATTTTTGTCAGAGGTTCAACAAAAACCCCATCAAAATTCACAAGGATTTTCATAAAGCTATTACGTGAAAGATATGCTTGTTGTTTTTCTCTTACGACTGCATCGACTGTCATGATTTTAGTTTCTCTATAAAAATTTACATTCTGTCAAGTCAACGTACTAATTCAACGTGAAAGCTTTCTTGTTTGATATCGGTGTAAAGTGAATAATGATAAGCTTGCCAAATGAAAGTGGCCTTTTGTTTCACGGCAAACTTTTTCGATTCACGGATATCAACTTTCGCACAAGTCCAAACAAGCMCGAATMATCAGTTTAGGAGAASCATCTGGAAATGTGGTCAGTGTTCCCAGACCCGTCAAATATACACTGAAACGGTCACAGGATAAAATGTCGRATTCAGTAGATGACACAAACAAGGCATTAAAGATAATCAAAAACAAAAACACCTTCACCGAAAAGACATGCAATAATACTATGGCAGCCCAAGAATCATTAAGGCAAATTGATGACTTTGTTCATAGTAAATATATTCACTTTTATCGGGCTATTAAAAATATCTTGAGGACAATCTTAAAAGCGTTTTTATATCCGAAACATTGTATGTAAGCGGAAGTTGGATGAGTTGTTTTTTACATGGTTCGGCGATTTACCACTTGACACTCTGCTCTTTCATTTTAATTTTTTCATGGGAAAATTCACCCATCTGAAAATTTTCACTAGTAATCGATAGTTATTGCTCTTTCCAGATCTCTTTTCAAGTAATGTCAACTGCAGTGTTGTCAGAGCAACCTATGGCCGCTGTTTTTACATGTATTTGAAATTGTGCCGCTAGGCTCGTTATCGTTTAACAACATCTTTTAATAAAATTCTTGTTGAATTTATAGATCGACTTCGTATAACTCATCAAGCTTCATGATATGATTTAAAGCAAGAGAATAAAGAAAATCAATCAAAAAGTATAATGGCATATTAGTGCATTGCTATAGTAACAGGTGACGCTTTTTGTGGTTTCTATGGTTACTTGAACGCGCAGTTTTGCGGTAAAAATACACCTTATGACGATCTTTAGTTTAGCAAGAAGTGATTTTGAGGACGGTATATGCAATGATTCATTCCTCTAATTTATAATTTTATATGATTACAGCTGTGTGTATCAGAAACTTACAGCATTCTGACACTAAGAGGAAGTTCCTTTTAGCAAATATATTATTTCTGGTCTGAGAATGATGGATCCTTCTTTAGATAGATTGATTCCGTCAGCATTCTTCCGTTCCGCTTTCATCTATTAATCTGCATTTGTAACAGATCAGTTCAAATTTCCCCAATAAGAAAAAGCCACTGATTGAAAATGTTTCCTATTAATTATCAAAGTAAATCCTTTAGATAAATATATATCATGGCCTAAGACTGATTTAATTCCAATTCATGTAATAATAAAGCCATATTCTATGTGCGAGATCACTTGTATTCAGGATAATACAAAACCTCAACGTCTTGTATGGAGTAACTTCATTTAACTGCGGCAGGCCAAGCCAGGTTATTCGAAGCTAGATTAACGAATATTATGAGATTGTTTAGAAGAGTGACCAGTACCGAATTTATCCTCTGGACTGATAAGGATTTATAAATGACCCTTTCAGTTAGCCCAGGATTAGGACTAATCGGGCTTCATGAATTTACTGAACAGCTTCACAATGAACACGTTTCTTCTGAGTTCTGTTAATGATTATTCCATAGAATAGAAAGCCTTGGTGTGTGTTTAGCTGTTCATTGAGTAGACAATAACTGGCCAAGAGACACTATTCACGTTTTCATAGTTTTTGAACTGAAGAATCTAATCGTGAGATTTATAGGATAGGATACGATTAGATAAAAAAGATGTAGCATCGAAAGGTTGTACTGCCAGTTATGTTCCTTGATGTGATAAAAATCACCAGTTCACAGAGGCCAGAACAAAAACGTCATTCAATTCCACGTGCAAACAAGCTAAGGCTGTTTTCGAAACACACTGCATGAGTAATGAGAAGCTTCTAGTCCAGTCATATGAACTTTTTTATGCTTTTTCTCGAATGTGTCCAACTCGTGGCTTTTTTCAATATATGTCCTATAGTAAAAGCAACAAAACCACAGAGCAATTTGTCTTCATAACAAATATGATCGCCCAGTCTAAAGCTATCTGATCTCCCTAGGAGACATCTTAGTTCTTTTTTTGAGGGTTTTGTGATAAGACGCAAGCTTTCTTAGCGGTCATAAACCCCACGCGATAACCTGTAGCTAGAATGTTTGATATCTTTAGTTTTTTTAGCATCTCCCATTTCTGTCAGTTCTTCTCGATAAAGAGACTTCATGACAAATACATTAATTAGTGGAGTTACACATATCCTTCCAAAACATACAAAGAAAATGCCGAAAAAAGGACAAAATCGTACAATGCACCTATCAATGTAGGCTTTTCAATTTATTTTTGGTCACTGAGTGGCTAGAGCCACCATATTGTTCCAGTCCAGCCATGCAGTACTACCTTGCTCTAAATGAATCTTTCAATAATGATATTTGTAATATTTATCAAAATAACATAAGAAGATAGATTTGCGCGATAATTATTTGCTTTTGACTCAACAGTAGAATGCAATAGAGTGGTATATYAACGCGTGATCTTTTTATATTCCACACTTCCTTACCATTTACGTTGCAGGACATCGTAATCTAAACCCGTGAAATTCTCTTCATGTCGAATCAATCATCTCATGCAGAACCGTTTGCCTACTTTCTCGATTTGGCTTAGAGTGTAGACATTAAACCCGTGAAACAAAAGGTGAATCTAGTCAACGTTAAACCGAAATCACTTTGAAACAATGAAATAATCACTTAAATAAATGTATGGGATTATGAACCGGCAAATTTCATTGTTTTATTTTTTGTTTTTATTAGATCACTGATAAAGTAAATAATTGTTTCAAAAAGGCACTATATCGCTCTTGTACTTTCATAACACTACTACATGCTTTTACTTTTAGGTGTGATAATATCTCCTCAGAACAACCTACACACGTGAAACTCTGATTTAAATAAAAACGTCAATATGTTATTTGTTTTTTGCCTCTTGTAATTCTAGACAACAAACTACATACCTGCTTAATTGCAAGCGTTTTTAAAACAAGAAAAGAAAGCGGCTCTTAGATCGCGCTAAAAGAGAATAATAATTGTCAAACACCAATGAATTTATTATAAGAACTYGTTGAACTTTATTGGAAAGTAATCAAGCGAGCAGGTTTTTGTAGTTCTTTCTCAATATCTGACCATGTGCCACCAGCTTCACCACGCATCTCTAAGAGAGGAAATCTTAGACAATAGCCGTAGATAATATTGATAACTCGTGCCAAACACGATATAGCTTTGGGGCGCATGCAGATGCGCAAAAGTTTAAGCGAAATGATTGTGTCAAGCCATCGAGGTGTCTGGGCCTCAGTTTGGTTGCATTCGTAACTGAAACCGAGTTTTAAAAAAGCGATACTTATCTTAACAACTTTTGTTTTACCACGGGCGGAATAAGCAAGAATTTCAAATTAATATAACGCACTGGTTTTACCTGATCTACAAAGCCAAACATGATAAAAGGAAGATATTAAAAAATAAGGCCCCACCTGCTTTAGCGAGTTCACTTGCCCCCCCCCCCTGTCGCTGTTACTGCGTGGTCAATATCAACTTATATACTAACCACATGGCTGATTGCTAGTCAATTCAAGCTTTGAATGCTGTCAATTTAATACTGAGAAATGTTTGGTTGACAAATTTTTAAATATACAATGATAAGCAAAACAGTATACGATAGGAATCTATAAAGTGGTTGGCAACTTGTGAAAATTAAAGAGAAAGAAATTAAATAAAAGTAAAACTGGGCAACATAACAACGTAAACGGATGAAAACTGATAAGAATCAAGAATTCTTCATTGCTTTTTTATCTTTGTCCTCGGCTTTCTTCGAAGTGTCGTTAATCAAATTTTTGGATGTGTGGGTTAAACGTCAATCAGAATGTGGCCATCTGAGGCCATCTAGCACTAGTAGCCTGCCTGCCTGCTGCACACCATCCATTTTGACAGACGTGTGTTTTCTCTCAAAAACAACAGTCTCTAGTCAGGCTTATCGATAGATGACAGAGATAGAATTGAGGGCGTCTCTAATGTGTACAATATAGAGTGCACAGAAAGATTGCCGTGACTGAACAGAACGAGTTTACTGAACCAACGGACGACAAATCACCATATGTATTCTTTCTAGCCAGGATTTCACGCGCCGCCATTATTCAATCTCTAAATATGCAATGTTTAAATGTGCGACCAAACATTTTTGACTGGTAAAAACACTATGTCATTACAGCATATTCTTGCAACCATGGCAACCCAATTGATGCCATTGATGAGTACCTGCATGCTATTTCTATTTATGTATTGTATTTGAGGACAAACATATGAAACTCATTCTGCCTTTTTCTCTGTCTTATTATTCAGGGCACAGCATGGCTCTGGCAAAAAAAGTTATTTCGCTTTGCTTCCTGTCTGCTATCTCTTTGAAAGCGTACCAGCACGATCATAAATTATCGCATAAATTTTCAGAACACATTTGACAGCGAGATATAGTACTTTCCAGCATTGTTAAGGGAACAGATAAACTACAACGGTGCCAATGATGAATTCTAAATGAGAAAGGCATTTTGAAAAAATGATTAATCGCACAAATAAAAATAAAATGATACTGTAAAGTGCTGGTATTTTTTTTCTATATTTTTTTCAAATAAACAAATAAATCAATAAGAATAAAAATAAAATAAGATCTATCTTTTTTTTTGCACCCAAGCTCCTCTTAGCTTTTTACACTATATAGAAGTGGCTATTTAAACAGGGGATTTACATAATCGATCGTCCTGTTCCTGTGATAATGAATATTATTGAGTTAAAAATATTAAAACAAAACGAAAACAAAGAGAAATAATGTCTATTTACTTATATGAGTTTGACTCGGAATAGTAAGTTCAGTTCACATCTCTATCCCTAGTCATAGCTAGTTTACCTTGAAAGGTAGAGGGGCCGGTCGAATCCACCGTAATTGAATTTCCAAGGCAATTCTCTAGCACCGTTATCTTAGATCCATGTATAATAGAGGTATCACACCCTCAATGCATACAATGATTTGGTAGACTTTGTTGCGATTTCCAAGGACTTCAATACATCTAACAGACAATACTATGAAAAAGCGTTCTGTTGCACTAGCAAATGATTTTGACAGTATTTCAATATTAACGAAGGGAACTCGGTCTTTTTGACGTCATAGATTTAATGAGCTACTGACCAATGGTGTGCCGGAAGACGATAACTCGATGTTTTTTCAATTCAGTTACATATGAGCGAATTTCAGTATCACAATATACTCTGCATCACTTATAGGCTTGTTTTTCATTTCCTTGCTTTTAATAAACAGTTCGCACTATAAATAATATTTGATTCTCAAATACTCCTATAGTTAATTTCCATTGTAGTACAAACAAACAAAGAAAGTGAAAAGCTGGACCATTTTACAAACTAGTCACACCCTTCCGAGAACCTTTGCGTCATTTTCTCACGACCCTGTTCATACTTCGTACTATTTCACCGCGCCGAGCGCAATAGTTTGAATTTGGCATATGAATATCTTGACATATGAATCAGTTGAGTTCGCAGTACCACAACGAGCAAAAGCTCGACGCTGATTCAAACGTCACTATCGGACACTATCGTCATATATGTCATGTCAAACTAATTAATGCATAAATATACAACAATAGTGAATTACATGTAATTGGATCGTGTCTTATGCTTTTTAATATAGTTGTATCGACATACGAATCAACACCGTGCCAAATGTATTTTGGTCGACACACATTGAATTATTTGGTTGCGGCGCGTCGCGATAGCACCACACACGAACCCGCCCTCACACATTAAAAATTTCAACCAACAAGAATGCAACAATCAAAAAAAGACATTTCTTAAAAACAAAGCAAAACTATCGTAAAGGTTCTAGGATGGAAAATGACCTTCAGTGCAGCTTTTGAAATTCTAGGGAAGATCTGTGACAACTTTAAATGAGAGTAGCTACTTTGCCTGAGAATGACATTCATTTCCGGAGGGGTTACTACAATCACTATAACTCAGTCTGGGTACCAGAGGTTGTAATTTCAGATTTTGAGGTCGCGAGGCCGAACTGCACTATGAGAAAGGGCAAACTCCGCTGGCACTAAAAGTTCTTTACTAGTCAGTTGTAAACAACTTAAAAACCACATGCGAGGTTTGCCATCGATATTCAAGAGCTCAGAGGCCTTCAGTCTTYGTTCCGCTTGAATTTTAATGGCAGACCTCTCACTAGGTTGTTAACCTATATACACTGCATGATCATCATGTGGAAGTTGAAAGTGATATTCCCGGGTTACTTGCACCGGCATGAACCTTGTTTCATGTATACAAATTAAAGCTGTCACCATCATATACTGGGATGAAGAAGGAGACTAGCTAAACAGCTGTCAGATTTCCCCATCAATCAAATTTCCACCATATATCTCGTATAGAGTCCGTATTCACCCTTCCTACACACTTCCCACGCCCTTTTAGCAATGTGTTGATACACTCTCAAGTGTTTTTAAACAGTCATCGTTATTCCACGACACACCCAAGTATATACCAGGGATCATTTCCTGATTCTAACTACTACTCAATTATAAAAATTACGAGAAAATAATGAGACTATTTAGTATAGATTTCGAGCAGGAGCGCGCACTTAGGAGTTTCAACCACGCTCTCACGCGGTACGTAAAGTGTTTGACTTGTTGCACATGCAGAGTGTAATCATCGAATAGACTCACAAAAGCGCATGATGGGAAACTCATTTGTCTAAGTAACTCTAATCTTAACGCGATAGTGAATAAGAATTATCTGTATACATTACTGTAGACTATAACGTCTAATCGTATGCAGTCTACTACGACAAGAAAACCTATTGAAGTGCTAAAAAATAAAAGTAAAATGATTAAAACTCGGAATTGAAACATCCTTTGTCTTGATTATTTGCAATATCACGTTTTGTTATCAAAATAACGGAGCAGTAGGTGTCATCTGAGCTTCTTCTTTTTCATGTTTTTTTAGAATCAAAAATTTTGCTGATGAGTCACAAAAAAAGAATGTCTGTAATTTATACGAAATATACGATCTCTGATACGCTCTCGTCATAGACTAAAATGCCGTAAATGATGTAAGTGGAATTGATTATAAATGTTAGATTTATATATTGTCTTACCACGAGGATTAAAATACATATCCAAAGATCAAAGTTTCATTCAGGCAGCCACGAATCTTTCGATCTTGACCGAGAGCCAGCCGTTGTCAGCTTTGTGACCGTAAACATTATAAGAGCTAGAGAAAAACGAAAACTATTACGTCATTCTTGAACTGCCAATCAGAATCAACCGACATAACTAAAACTGAAAATAGTTTTTGACGTATGGTCTAAACACAGAGGATTGATCCAGACACAGGCAACCCAACCCAAGCACAGCATAATTTTTTTTTAAATAAAATCATCTTACCTTAATATCATGTGTTCTTGATGTTATTTAACATTGCTGTGTGCAGTTTGGAAGGGATTTAGAGATTAAAAATAGCTCTAAATCCCACACACAGCAATGTTAAATGACATCAAGAACACATGACATTTAGGTAAGATGATTTTATTTAAAAAAAAATATGCTCTGCTTGGGTTGCCTGTGATCCAGATGGCCCTTTCGCGTTTCACTGATAGCCTGTTTGTGACTAAAGGCCACTAAACGTATGTGAGGAATTCTCATTTCCTCTGATATATGAGGCTACTTTGAATGTACTTTGGAGCGGTTTCAGAATTGATGTTACGACAATAGATCGAACAATGACACAAGAGCAGCAAAATGAGGTCGATATGCAAACTTGTTCTACAAATAAATGACGAAACGCTGAAATGTAAATCTCAGTTATGCTGTCCCACACATTAGCTTTGTAAACCTCCTGACAATGCGAGCGTACGTAATTCGACTATGTTTCTGAGGTTCAAGGTTCATCATTGACCTTTCTCGACGTTTCACCGGCTTTTCCACTCGACTTCTTTTTCTCTTCTTTAAAAGTAGTTTTTCTTATATTTTTCGTAATTTTGCCTTTGCTCTTATCGTTTCCTCGTTTGAAAAATGGCATTAGCAACTGAAATATCAGTAAGAACATTTCTGGTATTTCAAAAATATATATATGACATGTATCTTAACTCACAATTTGAACTTGTCAGGTCTTGCATCTCCAGGCTTTCTGACAGTGACCTTTTCTGCGAGCTACATCACTGATCATTGAGACGTACTATACTGTGAAGAAATCTTCTGTGGAAAATAGTATAAACTTTACGAGGCTTCAGTGATCTGATCTAATTACCAAAGTCAAACCGTTTCTGATTGGTCAAAMTCGTTATCTCGGTGTCTCAGTAGTTGACGCAGATATGCTCAAAGGAGGCGGTAAATGAGACCCACTTACAATGAAATTACATTGCATATGTAACGATTTCAAAGTACTTAGCACTCGCAAAATTTACGATTTTCTGGTTGGGTTTCAGTATTCATATCACTTCCATAAAGGTAACATACCATAATCAGTGTTGTAAAAAACAAACCAAGGGACATTTTCATTGTTCAATAATTGTAACTAAGGATAAAGTAAAGAAATCGAAGACAAAAAGATTTGGATCAAATTTTAGAGATAATCCTGTAAAGTTTGCATCAAAGCGGTTCGACAAAACGTAAAAGCCAATCATTTTTCTCAGATCGCGGAATATATTTCGCTAATAAGATATCAGTCTTTTGACTTTCCTGAAATATACCTTACATGCAATGCTTCATTTAGTTCACAATTCTCACTAAATGAATTATTAATTATGGGACAGTTGTATTCGTTTTCGCTCATTCAAAATCTCTCTCAGAACTGCCATATTTTCCATCTTGAATACTACCGAAATATGGAAATAACCGTTAAAGTGATAAGATAAAACATAAATATGTACAAACGGAAGAACAAGATATGTGTAATAACATAAGTTGTAATAGGATATTAGCAATCTACGGGGTAGGAACTTAATACTACACTTGCCAGAAGTCAAATAAGCATCATATTTCGAAAAAGAGATGTCTGTTTTTCTCAGTAACAACATTCAGCCGACTTGCAAGGTTTAAAAAACCCTATAAAATTAACATTTTTCATGTCATTTCATTTTGTGCACACTAATTCTACAAAAGGACTACTATATATTTACAAAGGGTTATCAGGAGATGCAAATTAATACCTGAATGAAACCAATACATTTACATGATTTGATATGCAATCTCAGTGATTGTTGTCATTTAATTGGGTACATATTCATAACTACTTTAAAAATACTTCCTCTAAAAAACTAAGGCCTTTTATTAATAGTGCCTAATGGTGCCTGTTTCATTCTTTTAGCTATCTACATTTTATCATTCATCATTCTTTCCAAAAAACTTCATTTATACATAACATATTTTTTTTATAATTATATATATATATATATATATACATGAATTCTATTATATTAAGTAGTTTGTACATTTGTATGCTTTCCCCTCCCTTTATTGCTTAGTCCTTTTCAACCTATGAGCAGAAATTTTGCATTAATGAAAATAATATTGAAAAATTTATAAAATCACCCACAAAACATTGCAAACGCTCTCAATATACATGGACAAATGATTAAAATTTTTATTTGCCAAATTAGGTCTCTGAAACAAATTTCTCTATGAAATATGTCAAATATAACTTTGTTTCTGCTCATATGGCYTTTTGTCTGATAGTGGTTAGCCTTTGTAGCAGCCCACAGGGATCCCAAGGTGCTACACAGGCTACAGATAGTGGTAYAATCCTAATTTTGGTTTCTTTATTGTGGTGACTGTCAGCTCTTCCTATGATTGACACCCTTGGTCCCTATTTCAACATCCACAACTGCAAAAGCGTATAAATCATAATTCATTCTCAAACCCTTTTTTTTAACAACTATCCCTAGCAGTGGTCTATCTAATGGTCTATCACTCATACTGCGCTGTGATTGGCTACTCTACTAATGGTCTAATTTGTGATAGACCACTCGCGGGAAAATCAAAATAAATAAATTATAAATTATTTTAAGGATATTTCAATTTGTTTTCATTATTTGACCGATTAGTATGTTTATACTAAAACAATTAGACCTCTCGGCCTCGTGGACTACGAGCTAATAGCCCATTCGGCCTCGCGGACTCGGCCTCATGGGCTATTAGCTCGTAGTCCACTCGACCTCGAGGTCTAATTGTTAA